CCTTCTCGGTCAGTGGGTTTTTTTTTCATGGTTCCTTTGACTTTTCATGGTTTAGTTTTCACTGTCCGCTTACTCCAGTTCTGTTGTCCGATCTCAGTTCCGTGCCAGCGTCTGCCCTGGCCCTGGCGCCCGCCGTGCCGCGTCCCTACCTGCAGAAGCGCATCCTGCTGCCGGCTGCCTCCCTCGTGTGCCAGAGACCCCACAGTAGACTTTTCTGGTTGTTTATGTTTTAGGGTCACACCCGGCGATGCTCAGGAGTTACTCCTGACTCTGTGCTCAGGAATGACTCCTGGCAGTGCTTATCACCCCTGTGGGATGCTGGGGATCGAACCCTGGTTGGTCTTGTGCACGGCGGGTGCCTTACCCACTGGACTGTCTCTCGCCCCAGCGTTTTTTTAAGTCATCTTGAGTTTTTTGGTTTGTTTTGGTTTTCAGACCACACCCAGGGGTGTTCAGGGCTGGCTCCCAGCGGGTCTCAGGGCCATGCGGTACCTGGGATCGAACCTGGCCTCCAGCCCCATCATCTTTATAGGCAGTAATGTTCCAGTCCACCCGACGTCTCTGTGCTCACCGGGAGTGTGTGTGTTCCGTGTTCATGTGTGCTGTCTTTTGTGCTCACTGGGAGTTGAATTTGTTCCATGTTCGTGCATGTGCTGTGTCTGTTGTGCTCACCGAGAGTGTGTGTGTTCCATCTTTGTGTGTGCTGTGGCTGTTGTGCTCACCAGGAGTCTGTGTGTGTTCCGTGTTCATGTGTGTTGTGTCTGTCTGTGTCACATATGTTGCCACCAGCCTTTTGCTGAGGAAGGGTCTCTGTCCTCATGGAGCCGGCCCGTGCTGGTCCCTTCTGCTCCCAGTGCATTGTGGGTGGGGAATTCCAGGCTGGGGGTTTCCGCTGTGGTCACTTTTGTTTCCTTTCCTGCTGGGAAGTGTTTCCAGGCCAACCTGTCAGCCTCCACACGTCACATCTCTTCCTCTGGCTGCTTTCAGGATGGGCTCCTGGATTGTCTTTCATTTTATTAATTTATTTTTGCTTCTGGGGTTACTTCTGACCCTGCACTCTGGGCTCGGGAGACGGGATGGGATGTCGGGGATGGGACCCACCACTGTAGAGTGCCCAGGCTTGTGGCCCTTTCCTGCCGCTGGTTCGGATGACTCATTCCGCCCTGTGTTTAGGGGTTTGGTGACCACTTCCTCGGATTTGGGGAGCGTTGGCCGCTCGTCTCCACCCTGCCCTCGACTTGCTGCTGTCTTTCTGTCTTTTTCTGTCCCTTCAGTGGTTTCCGTGTCTTCCCGTTCTCTGGCCCTGTCTGGCACAACCTTCCAGCGAGAAGCCTGTTGGGATGGTGTTCTCGTTACTTACGTTGTTGGTCCTTTCATGTCTTCGTGTCTCCCCCGTCGCTGCGTTTCAGAGCTGACTGACTGGGTTTCTTCCCTGGGCGGCTGCGGCTCCGCACGGTTGCCGCTGTGTCATTCAGCTCCTGGCGCTGTGAGCCAGGCCCAGTTGAGCGCGGGCTCATTTCTGTTAACGCTCTCATAGTTGTTTGGGCGCGCTCTTAATTAGGAACAATTTGGTCCTTTGGTAGATGCTTTTAAGACATGTTCAGAGTGATCAGACCTGTAGTAACTCTCACATATTAGCCCCCTGAGAGCAGACCTGTAGTAACTCACGGATCAGTCCCCCCCCCCCCCGACACAAACACACACACACGCACACACACGCACACACACACACACACTGAAGTCAGACCTGTAGTGACTAGCAGATCGCCCCCCCCAACACACACACACACACACACACACACACACACACACAGAGGTTAGACCTGTAGTGACTGGCAGATCGCCCCCCCCCCAACACACACACACACACACACACACACACACAGAGGTTAGACCTGTAGTGACTGGCAGATCGCCCCCCCCCCCCCCAGCACACACACACACGCACACACGCACACTGAGGTCAGACCTGTAGTGACTGGCAGATCGCCCTCCCCCCCCAGCACACACACATACACACACGCACACACACACACTGAGGTCAGACCCGTAGTGACTGGCAGATCGCCCCCCCCAACACACACACACACACGCACACTGAGGTCAGACCTGTAGTGACTGGCAGATCGCCCCCCCAGCACACACACACACACACACACACACTGAGGTCAGACCTGTAGTGACTGGCAGATCTGCCCCACTGAGATCAGGCTCCAAGAAGCTGCTTCTCTGTGTGGCTGGGAGAGGCGCTGTTCCGGCCTGGGCCTCTCGCTGTGGTTTCTGGGACTTTCTCTGTGCACTCCTGGCGGGGCCTCTGCCGTTTTGTGTTTTCATGGCACCAGAAATCAGACCCAGGCCTCTCTGCTGGGCCCCCCTCCCCTCAGTTGCCTAAAATGCAGAAACCCTAATTTCATCCATTTTTAGCTTCGTTCTGCCTCCAGAGGCGAGGGCAGTGCTGTCCCTGGTCTGGAAGCACAGACAGGCCCTCCTGGAGGACAGCTCCGTGCCCAGATCCAACAGTGAGACACAGCAGCCTGTCTGCATGGGGGGACCAGGGCTCCATATGCTGGGGGCAGGGGTTGGTCTTCCTCGGAGTGACTGACAGGGCTGCTGCAGTCGAGTCCCATGGCTTCAGGATGTCCCTCTACTTCTCTGTGTGACAGGGACACAGTGTATGTCGTTTGACTGTTTTCTGAAGCTTTCCTAAACAGACTCACATTTTATTGCCAAAAGTCTCAGGAAATGTGGGAAAGCAATCACATCAGAATATGAATGACCAAATCCAGCCATCAGCAATAAAATTCGGCTTCTTTTGCGTTGAGAATTTTAATTACAAAATATGCTGATCATCTTTCAGAAGTTATATGAAACTCACTTTGGGGGCTGAGAGTACAGCAGGTGGGGTGCTTGCTTTGCTCGTGGCCAGCTCGGGGTCGCCAGCACCTCCAGGGTCCCCAAGCCAGTCAGGAGGGATCCCTGAGCACAGCCCGGAGCAAGCCCTGAGCACCTCTGGGTATGGCCCAGAAACAGAATGTTAGTAAAGAAAAAATAAAATAAAATAAAATAAATTTCAAAAATTAGTAAAAGCCCGTGCTTGTATAAGTTTTCTATTTTGAGCTCAAACCCATACAAATGTTATAAATTATTAGCATATTTTATCCTTAACTGAAACAGCTGTATAGAAATAAAAGTAAAACATCTGTGCTGGAAAATTTGAAATTAGATTTCCGTTACCAGGTTTTCCACAACAGCTTGTAGGTTTTGCTTCCATGATCTCTTTAACTTATTTGGGAACATAATTGGACGATGATTAAGAACAGCAAAGTACTCCCCATGAGAATTTAACTCAGGGTTCTATACTTTTGTTTTGTTGGTGTCTGGTGTTTGGGTCACACCCAGCGGCGCTCAGGGGACCATACGGGATGCTGGGAGTCGAACCCGGGTCGGCCGTGTGCCAAGCAGACACCCTCCCCGCTGTGCTATCGCTCCAGTCTGCAGTGTGTTTCTTAGCTCTGCGCCTGGCCAGCCCCTTGCTTTCAGCACCGAGGAGGATCTGCAGGAGGGTGGTCCTCCGGCTCGGAACAGGAAGTGGAACCGTTATTTGTTGGGTCCCAGATGAGACGCTGTGCGAGGGCCCTGCTGTCAGCAGACAGCTTGTTGGTGCTGTGTGTGACACAGTGTTGATGGAGGTCACCTGCCGTGGTTCTCATGGCTTGAGTTCCGCCTGCCTAGAAAGCTGGACCCCCCCCTCCACACCACCACCCCCACACACACTAAGTTCTCGTGCCGAGAACCAGTGCTAGGACAGAAACCTCGAGAGAATGTCCCTCGTCGCCCTGGGTGCCCTTCTCTCATTTCAGATGCTCGTTGGAGTCTTCCTGAGCCTCATGCCCTGGTCTCTTCAGGCTGGGTGGGGATTCTGTGACTGTGACGTGGTTTTGTCGCAGAAAGCAGCAGCTTCCCAGGGCTGGACAGATGGTACAGACGTCGATGCTTGCTTTGCACACGGCCGACCCAGGTTCCAGCCCGGCATCCCCCGAGTCCCGCCAGGAGTGGCTCCTGAGTGCAGAGCCAGAAGTCAGCCCTGAGCACCGCCTGCTGTGGCCCCAAAACTGAAACAAGTAGCATCTCACCCCTCGGGCCGGAGAGCCCAGGTTGTTCCGGGGAGCCAGCCGGGACCCTCTGGGGGCATCTGGCAGCGTGCTGTGGACGCCCCCCAAGCTAGCACGTGTCCTGTGTGCGAGGGGCTTCCCGCGGTGCGCGCACTCAGAGCTTCCTGGGCAGGCACAGCCCAGAGTCCGGTGCTCCGTGCAAGGGGTGGGTTCAGACACGGGCCAGGACATAGTGCAGTGGGCAGGGCGCTCGCTGGCCCCAGTCTGTCCCCTGCACCCTATGTGGACACCCAGCCCTGCCAGGAGTAAGCCCTGCGCACCCACGGATGTGACAGGGCAGGCCAGGAGCCCCCCCTTCTCCCTTCAGCCTCCAGCTGATCGGCCGAGACGGCCCACACCTCCATTCCAGAAAGTTCTCAGGGCAGAGAGGTGCGTACGGGGCTCATTGGCCCCCAGAGCAGGCATCTGCCTGGCCGCTGGCGCCTTTGGTGGGCCCCACTGCTGGCATCCTCCCCGGCCCTCCCTGCGGGATAGCCTGCGTGCCCCCAGGGGGACTGAGGGACCTCGGGCTCTACCGCAGAGCCAGGTTGGGTCCATGTGATGGGGCGAAATGTCGGTGGCCAGATCCTGCCGCTTCTCTGCTCCCGCATCTGAGCTTCCAGGGCGGAGGCCTGCCACTTGCTGTCCCTGCCCCCATCAGAAGCACCAGCTCTGGCAGCGTTGGAGCAGCCTGGGCTCGTGGAACAGGACCGCCACCCGCCGGGCCGTCCTGACGCCACGCAGCCGTCCGCAGGGGCCTGGCAGTTACTGACCGGGCCAGGCAGGGAGACCTGCTCTGTCTCTCCGACTCCTGGCTTCGGCCCTGACCGTCGGTTCTGTGGCTTCTAGTTCGCAGTTAACATGTTCCGGACGTTACCACCTTCCTCCAACCCCACGGGAGCCGAATTTGACCCCGAGGAAGACGAGCCGACATTAGAGGCCGCCTGGCCGCATCTCCAGGTACTGACCGCGGGCCCCGGAGAGCGGGCAGCCGGGGCCGATGCTAGAAGCAGGCACGCAGGTGCCTCTCTGGAAGCTGTGCCAGCCTGCGGGGGTGCCGCCTGCTCACAGCCCCTCAGCCAGTCAGCCCCGACACGGGGGCATGCAGATGCCACTTCCGCTCGGGGTCAGTGGGCCGTGCGGTTAGCGTCGGGGGCTCCTGCAGCGCTCGGGGCGTCTCAGTCTCCCCGAGCAAGGCTCCGTGGCACCTGACTCGTGTTTCTTTTCTCTTCTCTCCCTCCCAGCTTGTTTATGAATTTTTCTTAAGATTTTTAGAGTCTCCAGATTTCCAGCCTAACATAGCGAAGAAATACATCGATCAGAAGTTCGTCCTGCAGGTGAGGAGGTGGCCGAGGCTCGGGGGTCCCTGCCCGCGCGCACCCGCCCACTCACAGGCGTCTCTCTCTCCCCCCGCAGCTCTTAGAGCTCTTTGACAGTGAAGACCCTCGCGAGAGGGATTTCCTCAAAACGACCCTCCACAGAATCTATGGGAAATTCTTAGGCTTAAGAGCTTACATCAGAAAACAGATCAATAATATATTTTATAGGTAAGTGGCGCGGCCTGCGCGCCTCTGTCGGGGGCGGGTCCCTGCCTGGTCGCCCCCACCCGTCATCACTCTGCACCTCGCCCCGTCTCCCCAGCCCGCTTCCAACTCATGCCCCTCCTCCCTGGGCACGTGGGCCGCAGCCCTCCGGCCCCCTGCGGACGGGGAGGGTGAAGGCTGCACCCGGGGAGGCTGCTGGGAGCGGCTGCCCAGGCGGGCCTGCAGGGAGCTGCCAGCAGAATCCTCACGACCCCCTCAGCCCCCACAGCCTTGCACAGGCCCCACAGCAGCCCCCAGCCCCGGGCTGTCAGGGCCTCTCTGTGCCCTCCTCCTTCCCTCTCCCCGCTCGGCCGGCCGTGCCGCCTTTGTGCGTTGCTTGTTTTGCCCCTTGAGCTGCCGCCAGCGCCCGGCGTGGGCCCCGCCCGCACGGCTGGCACCCGCGGCCTCTCCCGCCCGCCCTCACGCTCCCGCCACTCTGCCTGCTGGCGTCCTGCCACGCCCAGGAACAGACCTAAGCCCTGGCAAGGCCCCTGGCACTTCAGGTTCGGCTGCCTGCTTGTACGTCCCTTTCCAGAACATTCCACCCGCCCTGCTCTCAGCCTCCCTGGGCAGGGCAGGGGAGAGGAGGAGGAGGAGGAGGAGGAGGAGAAGGAAGGCAGAGAGTGAGCCTGAGTTCTTGTGGGACTGCCTGAGGGCGGCTCCAGGTGCCTCTGGTTGAACTTAGGAAACCCCCGTTGGTCCTGGCCCCCAGCGCTGCGTCCCCAGCCACAGTCCCGGCCAGAATGTTGCCGAGCCGCCGTCGGGGTACTCACCACGGCCTGTCCTGGCTGCGTGTGTGGGTTCCTGTCGCCCTGTCCTCCCTCCAGCCCCTGTGCGCTCACCGTCCCCTCTCCCGGGGAGCGAGAGTGCTGGGTGCTGGTGGGCCGGTGGTAGCCCCGGGTCGTGTTGGGGGTCAAGGCCCCCCACCGGTCTCAGTCCATCGAGGTGGCCCCACCGAGCCAGCCCCCTGACCCGCCTGATGCCACTGCCCACCCCTCTGCCTGTCACTGCCAACCCCTGCCTGCCTGTTCGCCACTGCCCTCCCCTCCCCCTCGTTGTGGCCCATTCCTGCAGAGCTGAGACCCCCAGGTGTGCTCCGTCCGTGGGCCTTTGTGCATTACGGGAAGGTCCCTGGTCCAGGGTCCAGAGCATGCAGAGAAAGTAGTCGGGAAGATGCTTGCCTTGCATGTGGCTGACCCAGGTTTGAGTCCGCACCGCATAAGGTCCCCCCCAGCCTTGCCAGGAGTGAGCCCAGAGCCTGGCAGAAGCCCTGAGCACCGCCACGTGCCCCTTGAACGTCATCTCCTTGCTCGGCCCTGTTTCTTTGCTGCCCACGCTCTCTCGTGCACACATTTCCCCTCTCTCGTCTCGCAGCTTCCTAAGTTTCAGTAAATAACTTCGCTAAAAAGGTAACATGGAAATTGGGCCTGGGTTTCTCAGCCGCCCGCCGGCAGAGGCGCCCCACAGCACAGGCTGACCTCAGACCCCAGTCCGCAGGCCGGCATGGGGTGCGGCAGAGACAGTAGGCACAGCAAGAGAGGGAGGGGACTTTGGGTGGCACTTGAGACAGAATGGAAAAGCCTGGCGTGGGGGGCAAGGGCCAGCCCCGGGGTGCGCGCAGGACAGGAAGTGCAGCGCTGAAGCAGGGGGCTCCAGGTGGCCGGAGGGGCAGCAGCGGTGGGCTCAGAGAAGCAAGTGCCCGAGGTGGCGGCAGTTTGGGGGCTGCCGTGAGAACCTTCCTGCTTTTCTAGGAGTGAAAACTTGGGGCTGGAGTGATAGCACAGCAGGTAGGGCGTTGCATGTGGCCGACCCGGGTTCAATCCCCAGCATCCCATATGGTACCCTGAGCACGGCCAGGAGTAACCCCTGAGCATCGCCAGGTGTGGCCCAAAATGCAAAAAAAAAAAAATTTTTTCTTAATTTAAAAAAAAAATAAGGGGGCTGGAGCGATAGCACAGCAAGTAGGGCGTTTGCCTTGCACGCCGACCCGGGTCCAATTCCCAGCATCCCATATGGTCCCCTGAGCACCGCCAGGAGTAACTCCTGAGTGCAGAGCCAGGAGTAACCCCTGTGCATCACCAGGTGTGACCCAAAAAGCGAAAAAAAATAAAAAATAAATTAAAAAAAATAGGAGTGGAAGCTTTGCCCATTTGATATTGGGGGCAGGCAAAGCAAACCGGAAGTCTGCCCTCAGAGCTGCCACGTGTCGGCTCTCAGGGCTGGCCACAGGGAGAAACCTGGACGGCGTTTGCAGGCAGACAGGCTGTGTCCAGTCCTAAGTGGCTGATTGCCTTTTTCAGGTTTATTTATGAAACAGAGCATCACAACGGCATAGCGGAATTGCTGGAGATCCTGGGAAGGTGAGTCTGCATGGGGCTGCGGGAGGCTTTGTGACTGGGCTGGGTTTGAGAATGATCCGGCCAGCCCAGCCCCCTCCAGAGTCAGGCACCAGGCAGGCGGCCACCCGGCTGAAAAGGGGCTGAGAAGCGACCTCCTGGGCACCAGCGGCCTCCTGGCTGCGGGGCCATGCAGCTCAGTTCCACCCCCCCGCCCCACCACCGCCGCCGTGCCACCAAGATCAGAGCAGAAGCTTGGCATGATGGTCCGTTCTAAGTACTGGGGGTGTGCGTAGCACTCAGCCTGGTGCTTGGCGGTCTCACTGCTTTCACCTGTATTTGTGAAGCCGTCACTGTTCCAAGCCCTCCACTCCAGGAAAGGATGTGCGGACTCACAGGGACGGCATCCAGGCCGGTCCATGGGGAGCCAGGGTTCCCCGACGGTGCTCCTGGCTGGCCTGGGGTCCTGCCCGTGGCCTCAGGAGCCCCTGCACTGGGGAGGGGCCCTCACACAGTCCCCCAGGGATCCGGGACACTCCCAGGGCACAGCACATGGCCAGTGGGTCTGGATGGTGCAGTACTGGCGCCCAGTCGTGCTGGGACCAGACGTGGGGCCTCAGCAGCCAGCAGGCGCCGCAGCCTCACAGCTCTCTGGCCATTCTGTTGAAGCCGTGAGCCTGTGCAGTGCTGGGATTCACACGCGCGCCCTGTCCCTGTCCCTGTGGCCACACGGGAGTGAGCTTCCCCCAAGGGCTCGTGCAGGATGGGCGCTGCTCTGTCCCTGCAGAAAGGTGAAGAAGTATTTTGTAGCCAGCAGTGGAACAGTGGCTTCTGTAACTTTCCTTTCTGTATGTATCTGCTAATCATTGTCTCTGGAACCTCATGTATTTGATTTGCTGGTATCTGTGCTAAATATTGAAAGCGAAAGTGTAACACTGTAGCACTGTCCTCCCTTTGCTCACCGTTGCTCATACAGAGCCAGGAGTAATCGGGCACCAGTAATATCTCTATTATGAGACTTGTTACTGTTTTTGGCATATTGAATACGACGCGGGTAGCTTGCCAGGCTTTGCCGTGCCGGCGCGATACTCTCAGTAGCATGCCGGGCTCTGGAAAGGAAAAGAAGATTTTTGTTTTTTCTCTAGAACTAAATGAATGGATATTGAAGCGTTAACGATTTCTGGTTTTGCAGTATAATTAACGGATTTGCCTTACCACTGAAAGAAGAGCACAAGATTTTCTTACTGAAGGTGTTACTGCCTCTGCACAAAGTGAAGTCCCTGAGTGTCTACCACCCGCAGGTCAGGCCGCGAGGGTTTCTCCCCGAGCTGCTGGCGCCCGGGGCTGACTGAGGCAGGAAGGAGTCGGGGAACTTGGCTGAGAGATGGGTTTTGCTTGTTTGGGTTTTTTTTTTTTATTCTGGTCCATACCCGGCAGTGCTCAGGGGGTCACTCCTGGCCCTGCACTCAGGAATTGGTCCTGGCAGTGCTCGGGGACCATGTAGGATGCCAGGGATCAAACCCGGGTTGGCTACACACGGCAAACAACCTCCCCATTGGACTGTCGCTCCAGCCCCTGCAGTGGAGTTTAGAACCGGAAGTCTCATGTCCTTGGACTGATGAATTTTGTCGGTGGCTTGGCTGGTGGCCCAGGTTTTAGCTTTTCTTCACTCTTAAAGTCGGTGTAGGGGCTGGAGCAATAGCACAGCTGGTAGGGCGTTTGCCTTGCAAGCAGCTGAACCGGGTTCGATTCCAAGCATCCCATATGGTCCCCTGAGCATCGCCAGGGGTGATTCCTGAGTGTAGAGCCAGGAGAAACCCCTGTGCATCGCCAGGTGTGACCCAAAAAGCAAAAGAAAAAAAGTCGGTGTAGACAGAAGTGAGCAGAGCCTGCTGCGGCTCTGGGAGTGAGGGGCTGGTCACCATATCCGACCCCAGGACTCCCTGAAGAGTGCGCCTGGCCCCTCTAGGGCCTCAGAGACCGTCAGCTCCCAGGAAACAGCGCCCCGGGCTCTGCACAGTCCACACCGGGGTCAGAGGAAGGGTCACTCCCCCGGCTCTTCCTGGCTCTTCGAGGACTTGTCTGTTAGTCTCCAGATCTGCCCAGCAGAGGCCAGGGCCATAGGACAGTGGCAGGGCGCTCAGGTTGCGTGTAGCCAGGCCAGCTTCAGCCCCCGGCATACTCCATGTAATCCCCCGAGCCCTGCCAGGAGTGACACCTAAGCAGGTGTGGCCCCCAAAACTAACAATCCTGCCCAAGAAAAAGCCCCTCCCTGCAGGCTGCACTGCCTGATCGTCGGGATGGCGTGGGCGGGGGCCACTGAGTCTCCCTGTCCTGTCAGCTGTGGGCAGGGAGTGAGCTGCTGGCCACAGGCCTTGCCCCACCAGTGGAAGGGTCACAGTGGGCTGGGGAGGCTCTCCCTGGGGGTCACGCTGGCCAGGGGACTCAGCACCGACACTTGGCCTCCTTCCTCCAGCTGGCGTACTGCGTGGTGCAGTTTCTGGAAAAGGACAGCACCCTCACCGAGCCGGTAAGTGCCCGCGCGCCCCGTGCTGCCCTCGGTGCCCAGGTCCCGGCCAGGGTTGGCCTCCCGCGCTCTGGTGTCTGATGTCCAGCACTTCCTCTTTGTCAGTGGCGTGGTTGGTGGCACAGCACTTATCTCGCATACGTGTATGTGGCCCCGGCTTGGGTCCCCAGAACACACAGAAAGTACGACTGTCATAGCCCAGGTTGAAGGTGGGGCCCACGCGGTCATTTGGAGGCACTGTCGGGTCAGGTGTGCACCCGTGGGGGCCACTTGCTTTGTTTTGGCGGTGGAAGGTGTTAGGTGTGGGGGCCGCTTCTGGCGGTGTTCGTGGCTTACTCCTGGCTGTGTTCAGGATCCCTCCTGGTGAGTGTCGGAGATTGAACAGGGTCGGCCACGTGCAACCTGTGCTCGCTCGGGCCGAGCCACCAGCTGGAGGTTGCAGCTCGGTGGTATTTGGCATCTGGGCTTTTGCTGTGGGGATCCCACCGCGCCGTGTGGAGGGACAAGCCTGGGCTCCCATGCGTGAAGCGCGTGTCCGCCCACTTGTTAGATGCCGTGTAGCACCACATGACGGGTCAGTGACCTTGTCGGCGCCGCTGTGCGTGTGGGGGCCGAGTGGCCTCTGTCTCGGGACCGTCTGAGGCGTGTTTGTCCCGTCATCCTTCGGCAGGCTCGTGCTGGGGCCACTTCTGACTCCTGTGGGGACAGTGTCCCGGAGCACGGCCAGAGGTCCCCGTCCAAGGCCCTGCTCCTGTGCCTGGTGTGGCGCCTAGGCCCGTGTTGCTGAGCCAGACTCGCGCTGTGCCGCTCAGCCCGTGGTGGGACCCAACTGCGCCCGACAGTGTCGCTCTCCCTCCTCCCCGAACACACACACTCGCTCCTCTCTCGCCTGAGCTGTGCGTCCCCAGCAGATGTGGCGCCCTGGCCGCTGTCCGAGTGTCTCGGCAGGGAGAGATGAGGCACGTGGCAGGTGCCGACTCTGGTGACTGATGGTGCCCCAGGAGAGGCTGTGTAAGACCTGCCCCCTTTGTGCCGTGGCAAGGGGGCTGACACACACGGTCTCGTGTTGGCCCCCAGCTCTGCTGGGGACACCCTCTCCCCCTCCCCCCCAATTGAAAACAGAACAAGGGCCCGAGCAGTGGGCCGGGCACTCGCCTTACGCACAGCAGATCTGGGTTCGATCCTCAGCACCTCGAGGGTCCCCCAAGCACCACCAGGAGTGATCCCCGAGTGCAGAGCCGGGAGTAGGCCCTGAGCACTGCTGGGTGAGCACTGAGTGCAGCCCCAAAGCTGAAACACATTAAAATGAAACCAAGTGTAAGTAGGGAGAAGTCATGGAGGTGTGCTTACAGGCGTGTGTGTGGCCCAGGCGCGCTACTCCTTTGGGGCGGAGGGAACGCGCAGGCGCCAAGCCCTGCCCTCACAGCAGCAGTGCCATGTCCTCAGACCCTGCAGTGGGCTGAGAATCTCAGGAGGGACCCCTGGGCCTCTGAGTACCCCTTGGCCCCCCCTCCCCAAAAAAAACAGGAAGTTCAGTGCCAAGGAGGGGCCATACAGGAAAGGAGGGCGAGCCCAAGTGGCCGCGTGATGGCACATTTCTCTCGCCCGGGCCTCACCGAAACAGAATGCTGGGAACGTGCTCTGGGCAGTGGGGGTGGAGCCGCCTGCAGGTGCTCAGGGACGGGCTGGTTCCACCGACGGACCAGGTGGGCTGCGTGCATGGCCAGGGCCCAGTGCCCCCTCTCGAGCCCACACTGACAGGATCGTGGTCCCCAGGCCCGTTGATGAAGTGGCTTGGCGAGTCTGCACGGCTGTCTGAAAGGACAGGTGCGTGCCCCTGGGCCTGTCGGGGCTCAGACCTGCCCCAACACAGGCGGTTCCCTGTGACGGGCCGTGCGCAGGATGCCCGCCCAGAGCCTCGTGCTTCCCGCCGCGGGGGTCCCGCCCCGCGCCCCCTCCCCGGTGTGGACACCGCCTTTGCTCCCCAGGTGGTGATGGCGCTTCTCAAATACTGGCCAAAGACCCACAGCCCGAAGGAAGTCATGTTCCTGAACGAGCTGGAGGAGATCCTGGACGTCATCGAGCCGTCGGAGTTCGTGAAGATCATGGAGCCCCTCTTCCGGCAGCTGGCCAAGTGCGTCTCCAGCCCCCACTTCCAGGTAGGCGGCCTCCCCGCGGCCGGGGTCTCGTGTCGGCGTGCAACGCTCTGACTCCCGGGGTCGCTCAGGCACGGCCGCTGCTGTGTTGCAGGTGGCGGAGCGCGCGCTGTACTACTGGAACAACGAGTACATCATGAGCCTCATCAGCGACAACGCCGCCAAGATCCTGCCCATCATGTTCCCGTCCCTGTACCGCAACTCAAAGACCCACTGGAACAAGTGAGGCCGGGCCCAGGCGCGGGGCTCGGGAGGTGGCGGGGGCTGGACGCAGCCCCCGGCCGGCACACAGGGGCGTGTCCAGACACGGCGGCGGGGCACAGTCGGGCCCCCAGTTCGTCCCAGCATGAGGGAAGGTTCTCGGAGGCCTTCACTGCAGGGCTGAATTCTCACAGCCGTCACGGAGGCGCGGGCGGGGCACTCACGACTGCTGTCACCGCACCTGCCTGTGGGTCCCCGTGTCCCTGCTCTGGGCGGGACTATGCTCTGCATAATTACGGCTGGTGTCTGTCCCTGGCAGAGGAGGCAGCAGTTCCTCAGGGTGGAGCGTCCCTTCTCCTCATGCCATTCAGTGCAGCTTCCTTCTGTCAGCTGAAGTTTCCACTCAGCTTCATTTCATTTCCTAGTCAGGTGGCTTTGGGCTGTGGCCCGCCGGGACAGGAAGTGGAGGCACACACGGGCGAGCTGCGTGGGAGCGGACCCAAGTGGCCGGTCGCCCTGCGGGCAGCAGAGCACAGTTGTGGAGGCGGGACGCAGGGTGAGAGGCCGCGGGCTCTGAGCTCAGCCGTTTGTTTCTAGGACGATACACGGCTTGATCTACAACGCGCTGAAACTCTTCATGGAGATGAACCAGAAGCTCTTCGACGACTGCACGCAGCAGTTCAAAGCGGAGAAGCTCAAGTGAGTCGCTGTCCTGGCTGCGCCCCGCCCGGTCCCTCTCCTGTCTGTCCCGACAGTTTCTCCCTTAGGACAGGCCCAGCTTTTCGTACCGGCATCGTCTGGTTGGCTTGGGTCTGGGGCCACACCCGCCTCGGCCCCAAGTCTCTCCCAGTGGCGCTTGGGGACCGCGAAGTGCCCGTGTGTCAAGCCTGTTCCCAGCCACCAGCTCTCGCCATCCCTCCCCCCCCAACTGTAGCTTTTCTTTTTTTTTAATTGAATCATTGTGAGATACAGTTACAAAGTTGTTCATGGTTGGGTTTCAGTTACATAATGTAGCAACACTGTCCCTTCACCAGTGTCTGCAGTTTCCTCCCGCCCACCTCCCCATCCCTCATCCCCTACCATGACGGGCATCTCCCTCTCTCCTTCCCTCTCTCCCTCTCCCTTTTTTCCTCTTTCCTTCTCTCCCTCGCTCCCTGTCTCCTTCTCTCCCTCTCTTCCTCTCTCTCCCTCCCCCCTCCCTCTCCCTGCCTCCCTCCCTCTAGTCATTATGTCCACCGCCCCTTCTTAGCCCCTTCTTTTTTTTTTTTTTTTTTTGCTTTTTGGGTCACACCTGGAGATGCGCAGGGGTTACTCCTGGCTCTGCACTCAGGAATTATCCCTTGCGGTGCTTGGGGGACCATCTGGGATGCTGGGAATCGAACCCGGGTCGGCCTCGTGCAAGGCAAACGCCCTCCCCGCTGTGCTGTCACTCCAGCCCCCCTTAGCCCCTTCTTACGGGAACAAACCTGCCGCCCCAGGACGAGGCCAGCCTCCTTCGCAGGAAGCGCGCGTGGTCAGAGTTTAGCAACCAGAGCCTGTGTGGTTCCCGGGAGACCGTGAGGTGTGGGGCCGGGTCGGGCGCCATCCCTAAGGCTCAGAGGCGGGGGCGCTGACCTTCAGCACTGGCAGCCCATGCCCTGCCCCCAGTACCACGCCCCCTTGTCCCTGGGCCCCGAGCAGTGACCTGACTGCGGGCTCCCCCACATGCCCAGGTGTCTGCGGGCGGAGGCTGGAACTGTCGCCCGCGGGCAGGCCTGCTCCACCTTTGCTGGCTGGCGCCCTCCTGGCCGCCCTGGTGCTGCGCCCTGCGTCGGTGTGGGGGCCGGGCCCCCGGAGAGAGGCCTCTGCTGTTTCCTTGTCTGACCAGTGACATTTTCCTGTGTTTCAGAGAGAAGCTAAAAATGAAAGAGCGAGAAGAAGCGTGGGTTAAAATAGAAAACCTAGCCAAAGCAAACCCCCAGGTACTGAAAAAGAGAGTGACTTGAGCCGGTGTCGGGGCCGGGTGTGTGTGAGACGGAGCGTGCTCGTCCCGAGGGCAGGCGCTGGCGCTGACGTTGTATATGAAATGATGGAAATATCTGCAATAAAATTACTTTTCAACTTTTGTACAAGTACTTATTTTGCCCCACCAGTTTTTACCACAGAATTGACATTTTTCTCCTTTATTTTTTAAGTCAGATGTAAAAAGTCTCACTTAAAGGTCTCCGTGTCTTTAAGTGAAAGACCTGTCGCATGCTGTGGTAAAAAGAGAAGCCCGTCGGGTCGGGCATGTCCCTGGAGCCACGGCCCCTTCCTGCCCGCGGCCTGTGGGAGCCGGGCTGGCTGCAGAGCAGTGGCGTCGGGGCTCTTTCCGGGACGCTGTTTGTGGGCTCGGCTGGTTGTGAAGGACGGGCTGACGGCCCACCGTCCTCGGGGCGGCCGCGACATCTCGTCAGGCGTCCTGACTCGGCCTGGCTCGTCTCTCCCAGGCGCTTCTCGGGGAGAAGGTCGCGTGTCTGCGTGGTGACACCCTCGCTGGTTCCCTTTGATCCAAATCGCAGCTCAGAGTCTCAGACCTGACTGCGAGTATCTGGAGGGTTCCTCTGGCTTGTTCTCGTGACCCTGTGCCGAGCTGATCGGGGGGTGGGGGGGTCCCATGGGGACCCCCGGCCAGGCCCCTCGCACGCATGTCCTTGGCAGCGGCCTCGTGACGCAGCGGGTCTGGCGTGGTCGTCTGGGGCGTTCCTTGCCCCTGGCCTCCGCTCGCTGTGCATTTGCGGTTGGCAGCTCAGTGGTGCCAGGTGAGCTGTGCCCACAGCCGTGCCCTTCCCACGTCTCGTCTCCATGCCCCCCCTCCCTGGTTCTGTCTACTTGCCCGCTCTGGGCCGCGTCCCCTCGGAAGCCCCCAGCCGCCTGCCAGGTGCCGTCCACAGCAACGGGCGGCGGGCTTGGCCGTGGCTTCCATCTTCATCACGACTTCTCTCTCGTTTGTGACTTTCCCACAAACGCTTTTCTTTGCTTTTGAAAGCTGTGTTTCCTCTGCGCCCGGTCGTGTGCGTCTCAGCTGCGGGAGACAGGCGCGTGGCCGCGTGCGTGAGTGCAACCATCCCTGCTTCTCACAGGCCGTGCTCGCTGCCCTGGGCTTCGCAAGTGGCGCCCTGCAGGCTCATCGGCCTTTAGAGGGGCTCCACGCCTGCCGTGTGTGTGTGAGCCCCTCTGCCCCCTCCCACCGTGGCTCATCCCTCAGACCCTGTGGGCTTCCTGTGCCTGGGCTCCGTGGCGGGCCTGTGGGAGGCGCTGTCTCATGCCCACCAGAGGAGAGGGTCCCGCCCGGCCCCCCCACCTGTGCCATCCAGACCGTTGCCTACTGGGGTCCCAAGGCTTAGATGTTCCTGCCCTCGCTCAGGGAGTTTCTGGTCCGTTAGGGGCACCACTGGACATAGACATGGGCACCGAGGTGGACAGGGCATCACATTCGAGTCACAGGCTGGGAATGAGGCAAGCGGTCAGGCACGCTGCCAGGCATGGAGCCAGGCCTGATTGGGCAGAGGAAACAGCCTGTTGGGGACCGTCCAGCGGGAATGGCCTGTCCGGGACTGTCCAGCCTCATGAACAGCCTGTCAGGGACCATCCAGAAGGAACAGCCTGTCAGGGCATCCAGCCATCCAGATGGGAACAGCCCATCAGAGCCCATTCCGCAGCAAGAGCGGTCCATCAGGGACCATCTGGCGGGAATGGCCCATCAGGGGCCAACCAGCGGGGATGGCCCATCAGGGACTGTCCAGCAGCAGAGTTGGAGAATGTGGAAGGGCTGCGTGTGGCCCCTGTGGAAGGGAGTGCCGGGTGGCACTGTCCCCTGTGAAGTGTCTGGGACTCCTGGCAGCGGTGACACACGGTGACTGAGAGCCCACGGACAGCGTGGGGCGTCGGAGGAGATTGTGAAGCCCTCCCAGTGGCGGGGGCCTCAAGGCCTAGAGCATTAACAGGGCCCTGATGGCGCCACCCTGTGAAGTGGGACCAGAGGAGACCCCCAGCACGGGACCCTTGGCGTGGATTATCTCCCTGGCCTTGTCCAGGTGGCATGGTTGAGACTGGACAAAAGGTGTGATCACAGCCGAGGACAGACACTGGCAGTGGGGTCGAGGTGTCCCTACTGGGTTAGAGGAGACCTGGGGGCATCGACGATCAAGAGTCAGAGGTCAGGGACTGCTCTGTCCCTAGCACTGAGGGGGTGGGCTTGAGAGTCGCCACCGACCCGCCTGCTCCCCTGCTCCGTGTGACGTGGACTGTGGCCACGCTGCTTGGGAATGCCCCCAACCCCACGGGGAGCCACGCGCCCCCGGTGACCCCACACTTTGCATTGCAGTACTCAGTGTATAGCCAAGCCAGTACCATGAGCATGCCGGTGGCCATGGAGACAGACGGGTCTTTATTTGAAGATGTGCAGATGCTGAGAAAGACAGTGAACGAGGAGGCTCGCCAGGTAACAGGGCACAGAGCTCAGCTGGGACACTCCCGCCAAGGGCCACTGCAGCCCAGTCCCAAGGGAAGGACAGACGCGGCCACACCCTGGGCGGGGCGTGGTGGGACTCCCTGCCCCACCTCTGCCCGTGCTGAAATTCAGCATGAAGTTTAGTTTTTTTTTTATGGATTTAGCATATGCCTGAGAGACCTTTGTTTAAGGGTCAGAACCCAGCTCTTAGCTCTCTGTTAAATGTTGGCTTGAGCAAAACGTCAAAGCTTAGCAGAGATGTCTCGCCCTGCGCTCTCTCCGCACGCCTCTGCCTTCTGGGCCCCAAGGCGGCCCCCAGGTCTCTCTGAGGCCCCAGCAGGTCCCGTGCAGAGTTCCTGCGTGAACTGTTTATCTGCCGGCTCGTGTGGCCTCAGGGAGCTGGGCGTAGGGGAGGTTCTAATCCAGGTGAAGATTCTTCCCTAGCTGTCGAGACGGGCGCAGGCGTTACCCAGCACACGGTGAGTTTCTATCCGGCTGCCCTGAGTTCTGTGCTGTCATCTAGAGCACAGGGGCTCCCAGGCCGCCAAGACGGGAAGTGAACACATTGCATTTCTTGTTCTGTATGGGATGACTGAACAGCCGCCCCACGTCCCCCGTGTTGGTCCCTCCGTGTGGAATACAGAGTGATCACATTCTCAGAGCGGCCTCCTAGGCCGGGTTAAATCACTGAATCGCGCTATTCTGTCCACTATTGAGACACTGCACGCCACCGCTCGGCTCGGCCAGGCCTGCTTAAACATGTCTGCTATGACGCCTTCTTCCCGAAAAATTTGTTTTTCTTTTTTGGGTCACACCCAATGATGCTCAGGGGTTACTCCTGGCTCATGCACTCAGGAATTACCCCTGGCGGTGCTCGAGGGACCATATCGAACCCGGGTCGGCTGCATGCAAGGCAAACGCCCTCCCCGCTGTGCTGTGGCTCCAGCCCCTCCCCGAGAATTATTTTTCATGGACGCCGGGTATTTCCATGCATCAGCTCAGTGAACGGGCAGACGTCACTGATCAGGAGCAGAAAGGAGTTCCTGGTAAAACACATGCTCACTCAGCCTCCTAGAGTCCCGGCCCTCGTTTGGGGAGTGAGGGTCTGGAGCCCTGCCTTGCAGTGCTGATGGGGGGACACGGGGCTCCTGGTACCACCCTGACCCCTGCCAGGGCTTGCTGCCTGCTGAGTCGTGGCCCCGGTTACAGTTTTTAAAAAGAAGAATCAGGGACCAGAGCGATAGCACAGTGGGTAGGGCGTTTTGCCTTGCACGTGGCTGACCCGGGTTCAATCCCCAGCATCCCATATGGTCCCCCGAGCAACGCCAGGAGTAATTCCTGAGCGCAGAGCCAGGAGTAACACCTGAGCATTGCTGGGTGTGACCCAACAAGCAAAAAAAATAAATAAAAAGAATCAGGTGACCAGAAGCTGCTCTCCGGGCTGGCGGGAGCCCGATGGCCCAGATGCCCGTTCCCGGTGCGTCTCGGCATCTCCTTTCTCCTTGGGCCGGTTGACATCTGTGACTTGCTCGCAGATTCTCCACCACGAGTAGATTCCATTAGAACGTCCTCTACTTTCCCCAGTTTCCTCCAGGAGTTCCGTATCCTGCTTCCTGGTTGGTTTTTGAACTGAGGGCCCCAGGTTAGTTCGGTGAAGCCCCCAGCAGACCAGGACACCTGCCCTGCGCCCCCAGCAGACACAGCCCATGGGCTGACTGTGACTCTGCCACCGGCCCCTGCGGTTCCTCCGTCTCCGTGAGGAAGCCGGGAAGGAGCACGCTGCCCTCTGCTGCAGTGAATGGACATTGTGGTCACCGGGAGGATGACCGAGCAGGACAGCAGCTCTCCCCAGCAGCTTCTTTGCTGGCCCCGGGCTGTCAGCCCCCCGGAATGCACTGCAACCCTGGGTGGGATCTCTTAAAGAAGCCACACATCTCTCCCAGGGTATTTGAAAGTCTGTGACGGAACTTTCCAAGAGCCCTGATCTAAGGGGGGCTGCTGGCCGTCCTCGGCGCCATCTGGACCTTGCTCCTGGTCAGTGCCACAGCCCCCACAGCGTGATCCCAAGGAGGCGGCGAGATACGGGGACCGTGTGTGCCCAGGAGACGGGCCAGCCAGGAGAGTCCGCGCACGGAGGCTCTGGGGGTTCCAACTGAGTCACCCTAGGCTTCTGTGTGGGGCGCGTTTCCTTTTCCCACGCGCCTAGCGGCGGCTCAGTTGCAGGCGGGGCTGGCGGTGTCAGGGACGCGGGGCCTCGTTAAGCTCCGCGTGGTTCTGGCCCTGTAGACCCGACAGAGCGTGCGAGTTCCCTGCGATGACGGTATCAAAAACATTCCCAATTCTCCTTCCCACAGTCTGTCGGGAGAAAAGCCATGTCAAGTACGCACTTAAGGAAGTTGTAGAGAGACAAGGTGGGCCTGAAGGTGAAGGTGAAGGTACTCCCTCCCCAACCTACCTGTGCGGTCACGCGGGGGGACCCTGGGGGGGGCCAGCTCCCGTGTGGTCCCCCCGTGTCTTTCTGGCTTGTGATAGTGCGGACAGGTTTGGTTCCTTCTGTCCCGAACGGAGTCGTCGAGATGGACAACCCCCGCCCCGCTATTCTTACACCCCCAGCCTTGCTGCTGCTTCTCTGTCCCCACCCCCACAACCCACCTATCCTCTCTGTCTGTCCACCCACCCGTCTGTCTGTCCGTCCGCCCATGTGTGCTGCTCCTGTTGTCTCAGCCCAGGGCCTCACTTGGACTCCAAAGTACTCTTCTCAGAAGAAACGTCTCTTGGGGTACCCAGAGTCACCCGTGATCTGCGTAATCCTGATTATTGCAAACGCAGGAGGGTTTGTCTGTTTCTCTTTCCTTTGTCTTGTTCAACAAACGAACGAGCAGTGGAGGTAGGGGGCAGGACCTCCGGAGTTTTACCAAACGGGCGGGAGGCCAGCACGTGGCTATGACACCTGGCCCCTGCCGTCTCCCCGTCTCCCAATGGGGTCCCATCTCCCCTGTGGCCGTGGTACAGGGTTCCAAGGACAGAACCAGAAATCACTGCCTTTCCTGCAAAAAATATAAAAATCTTGGCACTTGAGTAATATTTCCAGGAAAAGCATCCTACACTGAGGTCTCCGGGTTCTCTGAACCTGCACAGGATTGCTGTTCTCAGAATGAATCTGCAGCGCCCTGGGGAAAAGGAGCTCCGCTCAACATGGCTTCTGGGGATCCCTGATTTCTTGGCTTGGGAGTGCTCCAGGCCTTTTCTGCACTCGGGCTTCACACCCGATGGGGACCGGAAGTGGGGGGAGGCATGTGCAGTGCTGAGGATCGATCCTGGGTCAGCCACATACAAGGCAGGGGCCCTGCCCGCTCTTCCAGCTCTCCAGCCGTCGTCACTGGGTTTGAGTTAAATCCAAGTATACTCTCCGTAGTGCCCAGCTAACGAGAAATCATACGGTCCTTCCTTTCGCCTGGTAATCGGCAGAGCCCCACAGGAAGGATCTCTGGGCAGGCCGCGGGCATGTTCTGGCAGCTTCTGTGTATTGCGCCTTTAGGTGACTTACGCAGAGGACCATCATTTGGGGGCCAGGGATACGCCTCTGTGGTAAAGAATTTGCCTTGTTTGTATGAGCCTGGGCCTGACCCTCAGCAGCACACACACAGGTTGGCTTTTGTTTGGGGGAGTTTATTTTTGTCTGGCTGGCTTTTGTGTTTGGGGACCACAACGGACAGTGCCCAGAACTTATTCCTGGCTCTGTGCTCAGGGACCATTCCTGATGATGCCCAGGGGACCATATGTGTGCTGGGATTGAATCTAGGTCGGCCACACGTACCACAAGCACCCTTCCTGCTGTACTTATCTCTTTGACCTCAAAAAAGGGATTTCCTTTTTTTTGTTTGTTTGTTTTATTCTGGGACCACACCCAGCTGTGCTCAGAATTTACTCCTGACTCTGTGCTCAAGGATCGCTCCTGGCAGGTCTCAGGGAACCATATGGGATTCGGGGGATTAGGCCTGGCTCGGCCATATGCAACCTGCTGTACAGTCTCCGGCGCAAGGTTTCCTTTCTGGCCTAGTGATGACAAGACTGTTCCTCAGGAGACAGCTGCTTTGCCACAAACGCCCCCTCTCAGGCCGCCTCCTCACGATTCTCTAAAATGTGTGATTTTTTTCATTCATTCATTCATTCATCATCCTGTTAATCGTCGATTGCCTCGAGCAGGCCCCAGTAACGTCTCTTTCATCCTAGCCCTGAGATTATATTCAAGGCTTTTTAGGAGAATGAGACCCATCATTGTTACTGGTATTTGGCATATTTGGTGCGCCACGGGGAGTTTGCCAGACTCTGCCCTGTGGTGATTTTTGCAGAATGGGATTTTATTTTGGGGTTTTGAGCCACACTCAGCAAGTGTTTGGGGATCGACACTCCTGGCTCAGTCCTCGGGGACCACTCCTGATGGTGTCCTGGGACTAATGGGGTGCAGGTTTTCAAAGCCGGGTCAACTGTAAGGAAAACAAGCACCTTCCCCATGGTACTGTTCTGGCTCCTTTTTTGTTTGGTTTTTTTTCTTAACTAAAGCCAACACTCTCTAAACGTGAGGAAGAGACTGAAATAAAGAAGGGAATCTTATTCTTACCCCTTATGGGAAATTTTATGTAAATAATTGGTTTTTCTAAGGTTTGTTTTTTTCTTCTCTCTCTCTCTCTCTCTCTCTCTCTCTCTCTCTCTCTCAACAAACCTTTTTTTTGCTTTTGGGGGGTCACACTCAGTGATGCACAGGGGTTACTCCTGGCTCTTCACTCAGGAATTACTCCTGGCGGTGCTCAGGGGACCATATGGGATGCTGGGAACCGAACCCGGGTCGGCCGCGTGCAAGGCAAACGCCCTCCCCGCTGTGCTATATCGCTCCAGCCCCTGCATGAACCATTTAATACCTCTTATTTTGACTATCTTTTTTTGAACTTGGTAGAAGTCTGAGATCTTTTATTGGCTTTCAGTAGAGCCTAGAGATGTTTTTTATTTGGTCTTTCTGTTGAGCTCCAAGGCAGCCCCCGCGTTCTCTCCTCGACCTGCCAGCACAGCGGCTCCAGTCACATTTTTATCTAGGAGGGTCTTTCCAGCTCCCGTGGGGACGGACTAAAAGTCGTGGGTTTGCGAGAGCCCTGCATGGCATGCCCTTGCCCACACTCCACGTTTCGGCACACCCACGTCCCCCCTCGGAGGCCCCGTCGCCTGGGGGGATGGTGCCCCAGTAGCCCGCGAGGGCTGCCCTCCGCCCGTGTGGAGCCAACGCCCCTGCATTTGTCTTCCAGGCCCAGAAAGATCCGCGGAAGGAGCGGCCTCTGGTGCGCCGCAAGTCGGAGCTGCCCCAGGACCTCCACACCAAGAAGGCCTTGGCGGCCCACTGCAGAGCGGACGAGCTGCTGGCCCAGGACGGGCGCTAGCCCGGGCGCGGCGGGCGGGCTGCGGCGCTGGGTGGGGTTCTGTAGAAATACATCCTTTTTGTGCCATAACAATCAGTCACACTCCAAGTCACAGCTTTGCGCGACCCCGGTCCTGGGCAGCCACGCGCTGCCGCCTCAGCCGAGGACAGGATTCAGACCGTGGCCCGCCGTTCCCGCCCCCCCCACCCCCCCACCCCCCAGGGCGAAGGAGAGCACCTACTGGCCCGAGGCAGTCCGAGCAAGGGGATGCTCGCTGGCTCGCGGCCGCAGTCCTGGAGGCTGGGCCCGCGGAATCCCCTTGGCTCCTGTAGCTCGCTGCTTTGGGCCCTGACCTTGGCCAGCCCCGGGGCTTCAGGGGGGAGTGTCGGGGCCCCGGGCACCGCTTCCGGGGGTGGGGGGGACAGGGACTTCACTCCAGGCTCCACCTCGTGCCACGTCCGCTGCTTCTCTGTAGCCCTCAAGCCATAGTTCCGCGCGTGGGACAGCACCCGGATTCCCGGCGTCAGCTCGCAGGAGAAGCGTCTTCTTAGAAGAGCCTCCTCAGGCTCCCCTGCCTGGAATTGGGATGTGAAAATTACGTGTTCGGCTTTTTTTTTTTTTTTTTGGGCATTTGTTTTCTCTCCTTGCACAGCCCTGGCACGCAGGGTTCTGGGACGAGTGAAACAAGCGTCTCGGAGAATTGCACGTTCTCAAAAGTCAGATCGCACCCGTTCCGAGTGGCCTGCACAGGACAGCCCTGACCGGGCCGCCCCTTCGTGCCGACGCGGGCGCTGAGCTTCCGGAGGTGGGGGCGGGGAGGGCGCTGCTCCCAAGTCTCCCTCTCGGCTTGTTTCTGATGAGCAGCCTGAGGAGAAACCCTCTCCCCGGGCCCGTGTCGGCCTCGATTTCTCTCAGGGTGCCCAGGACTTCCCCCTTCCTGGTCCTGCTTAGAAGCTCTTCCCACGTGCTGCTACTCGAAACAAGTGATTCTAGTTTCTTCTGTCTCGGCCTAAGGTTCTATAACGTCCTGTCAAATGTCTTCGTGCGTAAAAGGCCCGGCAGGCCCGTGTCCTGGGGCCTTGGGTGTATGGCGCACACATGGCGCCCCTCCACCCCACAGCCCTGCTCCCCACTTTGTCCCCTGGGGGAATGGTGGGGCTGCTGGGGCCCGGGCCGGGACTGGAGCCCAGTGCTGCCCAGCTGCCCGGAGAGGAAGCAACACTTTCTGGACACTTGACAAGTCCCTGCCCCTTCACCGTGATAAAACGTCTCACTGCAAAAGTTCAGATGCCTCCTCCCTTTGAGGGCAGAAGGGTGCTTTTCATCATGCAAAGCAGCGTCTCACGTGTTTTAACAGACCACTGTTTGATCTTAGTCTTTAGCGGACCGATTCCCACCCGTCCCGGGCTGGGGGTTGTCGGATCAGGGTGGGAGAGGGTTCTGGAAGAAGCTCTCTGCCCAAGGGAGAAAGCAGCAGGGTACCACGTGGTGGGCGGTGTCCACGTCGACACATTAGATCCTCTTTCCTGTCAGGTTTTGTTTCTGCTCCGTAGGGAAGACAGACATTCACCAAGAAGGGAAACCGTTGGGAGCGAAGCTTCACTTCCTTTGACCGGAGTATTCTTTCACGTTTTCCTGTTAGGATACAGAGCCCAGTGGCTGATGGTCCCCTAGTAACCGCACTGACGCGCCCCCTCCCCTATGCCAGGCGGGTTTCCAAAGCGTCACACTGACAGTCTGCAGCCCCACGCGGCGCTGCGAGCCGGATGGGCCCTCCCAGCATCCTAGTGCGACTCTAGTCTGGCTTTTCCTATTGTACAGACATTGTATCTTTGTTTTATGGTAAGAAGTAATAAAAATGTAGACTTCATATTTTGTACAAAATGTCCTATGTACAGAATTTAAGAAAAAAAATTCATAGAAACGGCAAAAATAGGTAAGTGGCACAATTATTTTTCTTTAGGAGATAACTGTAACTTTATGCTTAGTGAGATGTTAAGGACCCACATATTTTTTAACATTTTGTAATTGAGAACTTTGGTTTCGACATTGTTTATGAAGGGAAACGTCATCCACTTGCCATTTATTATGCTCTTTTATCTAATTTTAAAGAAACTCTAAAAATGGTGTATTATATGGACTAAATAAAGAACATGTGAATTTTACTGCTCATCGTGGAAGTAAGCACAGCCCTGGCGTGGGGGCCTCCCAGCCCCTCCGGGTGCTCGTGGGACGCCGCCCCTTGGCCGCTCTGTGCTCCGGACTCGGTTCTCGGGGCCTGCAGGAGTCAAGTTTGCCCGCCTCCTCCCCGGTGGAGAAGGGGACAGGGCTGGCTCTCCGGTTGTCACATTCCCCTGTCCCGGGGGCAGTGTGTGTCCATGCAGCTCCTCGACAGCTGGGCGCTTGGGAGAGCCTGTGACACGAGACACACTGCCGGGCTGCGCCTGGCCGCGGGGGACACTGTGCCCAACGCCCATCTCCCCCGACCGCCACCAAGCGCATGTTGCCTGCTGTGCTGGCCCCGCACACACCGCGTTGTCATCAGAGTCCCTCCTGGACGGGCAGGTCCAGGTGGGAGGAACCAGGTTGAACCCACCCTTACCGTGTCTGACGTTCCCCTGTAGAAACACCCAGAATGTTCTGGGGAAACTGGAACCAGGATGGAGACGGGCGTGGGACAGGGTTGAGCCCACGCTTGCCTTCTTGACCCAAAAGAGTGACAGAGGCCGGAACCACATCACTGCTTCTACTTCGAGGAAAACAGGAATCAGCAGCCCTGCGCTTCACGCGGTTCAGAGGGAAAAGTCCTCCAGTTTGGCACATGGAAGAGCCCCGGGGCCCGCCTGTGGGGTCTGTGTGGGATCTGGGGTGCGGCTTCCTGTGAGGTCCGAGCTCTCGGCACTCAGCAGGGGCCTGCCCCCCAGGGGGGCTTCTGGAGATGCCATGGCTGACTGGCAGGACGGTGGTCCCCAGCCCTGGTAAAGGCCGCGTGGAGGCCCCTGGAGTGACAGCCGTGACCACACGCCTTCCAGCCACAGCACTTTCAGAGTAGACCTCGGCCCTGTAATAAAACAGGCGCCACTCTGGGTGCTTTCCGTGGCCATAGGCGCACCGCAGGGTGCCCCACATGACCTGTGCTGTGTGGGAAGCAGGTCACTGGGACACGCTGCAGCGTCAGAGTGGATCGTGACGCAGGCAGCAGCTTCCGCACTAAACCGTACCTTGAGGAACCTAAGAAAGACCCCTCTGGGCTTGTCACCTGTTAGACTTGGTTTCTGTTGAGAGCTGTCCACACTGGGTAGTGCTAAGGGCGGGGGCGGTGTTTGGGCGACCCTGCAGTGCCGTGGGCCAGACCCTGGGCTTTCTCATGACAAGCCTGCCTACAGCCCTGAGTCCTCCCTGGCCCCTAAAACGTGTCTGGGAGAGAAGGGGGGCACCATAAGTCGATGGGAGCAGGCTTGGTCACATGAAGGCAAGCACCTTCCCCGCCATCCTCTCCCTGCCCCTCAGAATGAATCTTGAAGAAAGGAAAGGCCTGTGATCAGCTGGATGTCTGCAACATGCGGGTTCAGGACCCAAACCTACAGGCGGACACGTCTGCCTCCACCCTTCTCCCCACCCCGAGTGAAATGGTCGGGCAGGCCCCGCCATGCGCAGCCTCAGAGCGCTGTTCTCCCCCACTGAAGCTGGCATCGCCCCCATCAGCAGGTCGCTGTGTGCTTCGACAGATCCCACGGGAACCCTGGTGGCCTGGCAGAGGGAGAGGATGCATAGGAAGTGTTACTTCTGTGTGGGATATTTTTTCCCAAGGCAACACTGATTTTAAGAAAGTAACTTCTCATGCTTTAGGGGTAAGATGTTAAAATACCTACGGCAGTGGGCCAAGCAGCCTTGAGACATCAAAGGCATCTCTGATGTTTCTGGAACATTCTGGGGCCCTACTCAAAATATTGGGAGGTTTGGGGCGTCCACTGCCTAGGCCACACACACACACACACACACACACCCCTTCTGAGCAGACTGTGAGGGAGCTTCCGCTGCGGGGAGGGATGGGGCGCTGCGCCCTGCAGGGCAGGTGAGTAACCTCGCAAGATTCTGGGCAGGGCATGGGAAGGGAGTGGTGGGGCAATTGGGCATCACTGTCTGACCCTCACAGCGTTGGGGAGATGGGAAAGGGGTGGAGTTCGAGCTTGTATGAAACTGCAGGGCTGTACTTCGTGCGTTTTCAACTGCTGAATACAGTCTCTTCAAATGGAGGATGTGTTCAGACGGTCTTCATGTGGCAAGCTGCCAAAAATGTTTTTACACAAGGGCCAGAGACAGAGGAGAGCGTAGAGCAGGTAGGGTACTTGCCTTACAACCCCGCACCGCCAGGCGTGGCTCAACAAAGCAAATTTAGAAAACGTGATGCTGGTCTGCGCCCCCCACCCCGCCAGCCTGGGTGCTTTGCAGGGCGGATATAAATGGGCGCGTGCTTCTCAGTGCCCGCCTGGCTGGTACCCCTATAACCTAGACTGTCAGTAGCATTATCATCCCACGCTAGACACGGAACCCGGGACCCAGAGTGACTCGGGACAATCCCCGGCTTGAGTCCTCGTCTCCGCTCGACTTCCCGAGCCGACCCCTCCCCCGCAGCCTTGCTGTCCTACGTGGCGACCTGGGCCACACGGTGCTCAACCTCCCCACTCGCCAGTGCCTCGGCCCGGTGCTTGGGGGCAGGAAGGACGAAGAAAGGTGGCACAGGGGAGCACGTGAGGCCGGTCGGGGGAGACGCGACCAAGCCGTGCTGGCCACAGCAGCCCTTGGACTCGGCCCACTCCGCGGGCGACGGAGCCGAGCCAAGGTTCCGAGGGGCGCCACGCCCCTGCGCGCCAGGTCGGCGCAACCTGATGACGCAGCGGCGCGCCGGGTCGCGCCCAGACGCGCTGCCCCGCCCCTCCTCGCGGGGCATTGTGGGACAAGGAGGCGCCCGGCCTCCGAGTCTCGCCCGGCCGGAGGACCTGCCAATCATTCCGCGCCTCGCCAGGCCAGCAAGGCCACGCCCCCTGCGGGGAGTGAGCCAATCCCGAGGGCTCGCCCGTCACGGCCTCGGGGATTGGTCGGAGGCCTCACGTGACGGCGTCGGCGCACGTGACAGGTGGCGGAAGCGGGAGCGGCCGTTTGGGGTGCGGCGGGCACGGGCGCC